TCTATGACTCAGTTTTCAGGAGCTCTGTTCATAAAACAACTTATTTACAGGTTTGTAATTCTGGTCTGCTTCCACACCTGGCCTTGGCTCTGCTGGCTGCATATCAGATGGGCAGTAAGTTCCCACAAAATCCTGTTTTTTGAGACTTGGTCCTTGTGGAAGATTGTTTGAAAACATGGCCCTCATAACTCCTCCCGTCCTTGTACACATATGCTTCTCTCATCTGAAGGTGGTCAGTTCCCCTCTCCTTGAATCTGGGCTGGTGTAGTGGTTTGCATTGACCAAAGGAATACTGTGAGTGTTGCTATGTGATCTCCAGGCCTTGGTCTTAAGAGGACTTACACTTTGTTTTGCCCTCTTGGAAACTGCGTTCAGGCTACTTCCAATAGGTCACAGTCTTGAAAACTCTATGGGATAGTTCTACTCTGCACATATGGGGTCACCATGATTGGGAATAGCAACTAACAACAACAAGAAGACTACTGAATTAGATGAGACCAAGAGGAAAGAGAGAGCTACCAGTTTTCCAGCTATCCCCACCAATGCTCCAGACATGTGAATGAGGGCATCTTGGACCTTCCCTAACCCAGCTCAATCCAGCTGCCAATGGTATTCAATCTCATGAGTGAGCCCAGGCAAGATCGGTAGACTGCCCAAAGAATGGAAAGAAATGAAAAAAACATTATTTAAATGACTACATTTTGGGATGGTTTATTATACCATGACAGCTAACTGATATAGCCTATCACACCAAGACAAACATCCCCAGGCAATTGGTAACTAGTACTCTGGGCCTAGTATCTAGCCCTGTCAATGATCTATCATAGACATTGCCATCAGGATTACAAGGGGCCTTTTGTATCCTGTGTCCTTGAACACCTAAATGCCAGTGGGCAGACATCACCTACTCCTGTCCAGTCAGTCAGTTATGCTGGGTGCACAGAGGTAAATAAGGAGCAGCAATTCAAGTGAGACCTTGGCCTCAATACTAATTTGTTCACTGTATGAAAAAGTCATTTCCTTCTACTCTCTGCTCAAAAATATCAGAAGAATTCATCTGTCAGCAATACTGTTACCTGTAAAACAGGTAGTGCCTGATTTATGCTGGGCTTCCATTCCAACAACTCCATTGGTTCTTATGTAAGTCAAATACCTCATTTTATTTTTTTCATTGTTAGTCCCTTTTACTATCAGTATCTTTATAAATCCAAACAGTAAATCATAAAATTGAACATCTGTGAGTAAACATCTGAGAATGATAACATTAGTAAACTATATGCTATAGTGTATGTAGTACATACTACTATTTTGATGAAAAAAACAAAAAATGGATGGTCATAAGTGAGGTTTGTCGTAACTTGGTTATAAGTTGGGGACTACCTGTACTAAGTGGAAAAGTTCAGAGAAATTTAATTTCTGCTCCTTCCTTAAGCCCCTGGAGCATTCAGACATAAAGAATTACACCCTGCAACTGAGAAGACAGAAAATAAAGTTCCAGCATTATTATTAAGCCAGCTTAGATTCAGGCCTGGTGGTAATGGTTTCTTTCCAGGATTTATGTCAACCTTTCACCTTCCAAATACCTTACCCTGCACTAGATGCTTTGCACACAAAGATGAGTAAGACTGCTCTAGAAGAACTTCCTGTCTAATCAAGGAACATATAAACAAACACTCGTGATTCCCTTTGTTTTGAATCGTAATGGATAAAGAACACTGGCTCAGGTCTAAGTAACACCAGAAAGTAACAGGCTTTTTGTTTATTTAATCACGCAAGAATCCATATGTACAAATGTACATTTTTCTTTAAAAACAGTCACCTTGGAATGTAATCCTCTTTTTTCAACGTTTCTGCCCCTTCCTAACTCCTTTAACATCAAATAATGAACGACCCATACGAGAAAATATTTCACAACTTTATATGAAAACATAAATATGGTACTACTCTACCCACCCTCTTTCACCAAATTTGGTAATGAAAAATGAAATACTTTTTTCTTTCAGAAAAACAAAACAAAAAAACCTTTCAAAGAATAATGATCTTCCACCTTTGACAATATTTTTTTAAATATGTAGGTCTCTGAAGGCAATTAACTCCACATCATTGAAATGTAAGACCTATCAGGGTGGCTCACTTGAATATTACATAAGTTCTACTGTTTACTCAGAAATGGGGAACATCTGTCAAATTGCTTCATCTATAGATACACTTTTGATGCTTATGATACTTTTTCAGCTCTGTTTTTATCTCCCAAACTAGCACCTGAAATCTGGCAGTCAGATTGTCTTCCAAGGCTGGCTGTGATGAATGCTTTATAAAGTAAGTTTGGGGTACTCCACACCAGATCCCTAGTCAATAAGTCTTTAATGTTGTTATTGTTATGTGCCATCGAGTCAGACCTGACACATGGCGACCCCTCCTTGGGTTTCCAAGGTGGTATCACTATGGAAGTAGATTGCCCAACCTTCCTTCTGAGGAGTGGCTGGTGGGTTTGAACTGCCAGCCTTCTGGTAAGCAGACAAGTGCCTTAGGCACTACACTACCAGAGCTCCTAAGTCTTTAATGAAGAACTTTAAAAGGAAGCTTGGGTCAATGTGAGAAGTCCATTACTTCTCCCTCATTGCCTTAATGTCCAAGTTCTCCTAACCTGTCATTAATAATGATAGAACTTCTCTTCTCTATGTGACTAAGGCCTTGGGACATAGGCTATGCTAGCTTCAGCATCCCACCCACCGCCTGTCTTCCCGGCACTGTCTGTTCCATAGCCAAAAAGTTGGGAGCTGCTCCAAGGTAAGCTTCCTGGGCACAGACCTTGTTTATCTAAGCAAACAGGGTGTCATTAACACCTGCAGTCCTACCTGCTTACTTCTGATTAAACTTATCTAGGTACAGGTCTTAGGTATGACCCAAGCAGCCCCTGTAGGCTTTGGGGTCAAAAATCTAACATGAAGTGGGAATGTGAAGACTGACTAGGTGAGGGGTAGAGGAAGGCTTTTGATCCTTTCAAAGGTTCTGCTGGTTAAAGGAGTGTGCATGGTGTCACTGGAGAGTTTCAAGACTCTACAGACTCAAATTACACTCCATTCAGCAAATTCTTCTCAAGTTCTCCAGACACCTAATTTCAGATCTGCCTGTGGAGGGTTAATGACCATGGAAAGCAAACTGGAGTTACAAGAATGGGAAGAGCTCAAACCAACTGCTGTTTCTTTTCCACTGAGGACAAACATTGCAGTGTCCCAGGAAGACTGATTGGCTCTTCATGAGGGACTGACATGCCTTACAAATGAGGGTGCCCTGGAAGAGGAATTTTGCTATGGTTTGCCATAGCCCCATTCTCAGTCTAAAGGGGGATCTGGATCAGAGTTCCCATAAACAATACCCCTAGATATCGCTTCCAAAATGTTGTGCCCCATCCAGCAACCAAAGGTGCAGAAATGGCCCACTTGAGTCCCTAAGACTGCATCAGTGCCCAGCCTGAACTGACCAAGCAGAGATTCACATCCTTACTGGAGGGAACTCCAAAATTATCAGGAAAGGTCCTGATAGACAGACCCATCAGGACAAAGAGCAAGTAGAACATGAGTCTGGGAAAGGGATGACTAGTTAAGAAGGGTCCCTGAGAACTTTCCAGTGGATCATTTCTAATAAAGATGTGTGTATTTCTCCCCCCTCTGCCTGGAAAAACTCTGACACTGGACAATACAAACGTATTTTCTAAGCTTTGGAGCGACAGTGCTGTGTTCTGTGGAATACGGTAGAGGTATGAGCAGCACAATTGTATGAGAGCAACTAAAATCCCTAACAGCTCTCACGTTGCATGCTTTGGAACAAACATACGAGGACTTCGGATCTGGCTGTGCTCACCGGTGGCAGGACAACCGCCTGGGAAAATAAGCATGTGGACTCTGCCAGGCAGGGAAAGAGGCTACGGCCCCGCCCGCACACCCCTCAGCCAGGATCTAGCGCGTTTTTCCGGTAGTCTGGGAAGGAGTTTGGAGGAAGGTGTAGGGGAGGGGAGAAGAGCAAAAGGGGGTAGGGTAGGAGCAGCGCGAGGATGGGAGGGAAGTGGTGAGCCACGAGGATTTCATCACGCAAACAGGCGGGCAGATTTCATCAGCGCCTCGGCGAGAGGATTCCCAGGCTGGGAGGGAAAGCCTGGCTCCGGAGGGCAGTCCAAGGCCGGCCCCCAGTCGTGCAAGCTCAGCTTCCTCTTCTTCATCACTCTCAGAGAGGTCACACGGTGCCCCCTTCCCTCGAGCAGAAGAACATGTCTGTCTGCACAGTCCTGCCCAAGGCCCCAGGCCTCCCCGCGTGGATTCCAACTGGTATAGGTGGAATATGCCACAGATGCTGGTGAGGCACTGCTAGAGCAGCGGAGCACCCTCGGCAAAACCCCAAAACTTCCGTCAGAGGGCGCTTGTCCAACGCAAAACTAAGGGTGCCTTTTAAAGGGAAAAGAACTCTGCAAGTATTGTGAATGGTGTCCTCCTCCCCTGAGGTCATTTTATCCAACATAAAGAGAGTCTATCCTTTTCCCCAAAATCCTCAGGCTAGCAGACCTCTCATTGATCACTGGGCCTACCATCTCACCTCACAACTGCCCCCTATGTCCCCACGCTTCACACATCAGCTTTTTGCAGTTCTGTGTCGGTGTTTGGGTGGGTGGGGGTACTCAGCTGTCTCTTCCAAAAGGAGGAAACAAATAGGGCAGTTTGCAGCCGAGTTCTGGAGAACGAGCCCAGAGGGCAGGATACTGGAGGGTAGCCAGCCACTCGCCAGTTCCTTGTGGCCACCTCCGTGACCCCAGCCTGTTTCCCTTAAGCCCTTTATCCATTCCTCCCAGTCACCGCGCTCCTGTGCATGGGCACCCCGTCCATTTGGTGGTTCTGGTCCCCCTTTCCCTTCCCACCTTTCTCACTCCCCAACCCCGCTCGCCCGGTCCATCCTCCCCAGGGTCCGCACCCTGAGTGGGCACCCGGCGCCCCCGAGGCAGCGCCTACCTCCCGGAGTGGTGCTGAAGAGTGTGCCACCAGGGGTGGTGCTATAGTCCCCAGGCGGCAGCTGCACGCCGTCGGCGAGGACCACCCGTCGAGTAGCGGGGATGGCCCGGCTAGGGGTCTGACTGCAACTGCTGGCCCCAGACATGCTCTCCCGCGCTCTGCGTTCCCAGCTAGAGCGAGGCTCTCCTGCCCCTCCCGCCTCACCCTGCCCCTCCCGGCCCCGCCCAATACCGCCCCTTCCGCCCCTTCGCCTCGACGTCCTCTGGGATTTGTAGTCCTCGTGGCGGCACCCACCTCCCCCCTCAGCGTCTCATCACTGTCTGCCCGTGGGTTCCCCGGCGACATAAAAACTCGAGTCCCAGGTGGTCCAGCTCCTTCGCACAGGTTCCAACACACCGCCTCCCATTGCCTGCCCCACCCGTTCGCGATCCCTATCCTGCCTCGCTAGTATGGATGTGAGTGGAAGGAGAGTGGTGTGTGTGGGGTGCTTAATGCCTTCCGGGGTCTGGGGACGCGTGTGAGGACTGTGCTGGGATTCCACGAACTGAGTCCATTCTGGGAACGCCTGGTTTCTATAGTAGGGCATCAAGCCTTGAAATGTCCCCCTCAACCCTCGCTCTTCTGTGCCTTTAGTTCCTCAGATGAGAAAGTGGGCATTGATTGATCATTCACCCCGCATCTGTTTATTGATCATTAAAGATAATAACGAACAAAGCAAGAAATAGCAAACAAAGTATTTCCCCTGCCTTTGGAGAGGGTGTGGGTGAAGCGCACGTGAACAAGCCACGCATCTGAGTGATAAGGGCAGAACCTAAAGCAGAGGTAACCCCACCACCACCACTCTGTCTCTGCTCTGTATGGCCAGAGTGGGAGGAGAGAAGGATAGTTACTCAAAGTAGGTTTCCAGTAGACCTTAGATGGGAATAGCACCCACCACCATGCCTGGTTTTAGTAGGCATTCCTTGAATGAATGAGTGATTGAATGAATCTTCAAGGAAATGTAAGAGTTCCCCAAAAAGAGAGAAAAATGCGGTAAGGAATTCAAAAGAATTATGCTTAGGTATGTTCAACGAATTGAGAGACAGATCAAGGAAAACACAGAAAAAACCCTAGAACAATTTTGAAAGACAATACAAGAACAAAATGACAAAATAAATGAAAAATTAGAAATGATACAAAATCTACACACAGAAATTCAGAAGATTTAACACTAAATTTTCAGAAATAGATATGACATTGAATGGGCAAAGGAGCAGAACTGAATCAATGGAAGACAGAATAAGGAAGATTGAAGGCAAATACCAGATTATGTCTTTGGAAAGAGATCAATCCGAAAAAAAATCAAAACAAAATTAAGAAAGCCTACGGTTCATGTGGGATGCCATCAAAAGGAATAACCTACGTGTGATTGGAATTCCAGAACAGAAAGAGACAAATAAAACCATAGAGAAAATTGTTGAAGATTTGTTGAAAGAGAATTTTCCTTATATGATGAAGGATGAGACTATATCCATTCAGGAAGTCTGACGAACCCCAAACAGGATATACCCCAAAAGAAAATCACCTAGACATATCATCATCAAATTCACCAAAACCAGAGACAAAGAAAGAATCATGAGAGCAGCACAGGAAAAACAAAAGTCACCTACAAGGGGCAACCAATAAGACTAAGCTCGGATTTCTCGACAGAAACCATGCAGGCAAGAAGACAATGGGATGGTATATGTAAAACACTGAAAAAAAAAATTTCCACCCAAGAATTATGTACCCAGAAAAATTGTCCCTCAAATATGATGGTGAAATAAGGACATTTCCAGATGTGGTAGTTATGTTTGTGTGTCAACTTGGCTGGGCCTGGTTGAGTGGCTGGGCAGCTGGTGGTAGTTATTTCCCATGATGAGACTGGCAATCAATTCCATGGTGGGATCTA